AACAATGACCGTTTTGTATATCGACACGAAATCCATAACTTTTTGCGTGCATGGTCTGAAGATGATCGGAGTTAAATTTGGTGAAAATTGGACCAACGGTCTAGGAGGAGTTTGAAAAAGTAGGTTTTCAACATGAATCAAAATGGCGGACAGGGAGTCCGGCCAATTTTGGCATAATTGGTATCGATGTTCTCGGCATGACCCAAAGAATATATTGAGACCAGTTTTATTACAATAGCCCAATTTATTCAAATGTTATTAGCATTTTTGTAAATTTCCCCCAAACTTTTTGAGCACCATCAGGGCAACCGAGTTTCGTAAGGATACGTCAATGCGTTAGTAAAATATAGCATTTTATGACAAAATTCAAAATGGCCGACGCCCAAAATGGCTGACATGGGAAAATTGTATGGTTTGGTTCGACTCGGCATGATCCACCGAATCTAAAGAGACCAGTTTTGTGATTTTTGGCCAAACCATTGAGAAGTTATAAGCAAAAATAGCCATTTTTCATATCTCCTGACCACTAGGGCGCACTGTGCCGAAACACTGCAGGTAGTCTCAGGTCATGCTTGTTATAACACACACCAAGTTTGGTCTCAATACACCAAACTTGAGTGTCTTTAGTAAAATTCGTTCGTGTGTAATTCGAGAATGGTTGGACGAATCAACTTTACATTTACATTTAGACATATAGCAGACGCTTTTATCCAAAGCGACTTACAAATGAGGACAATGGAAGCAATCAAAATCAACAAAAGAGCAATGATATGCAAGTGCTATAACAAGTCTCAGTTAGCTTAATGCAGTACACGTAGCAAGGTTTTTTTTAATCATATAATCAGTGGTGTAATGTAACGAAGTAATAATACTTCGTTACAGTACTTAAGTATTTTTTGGGAGTATCTGTACTTTACTTGAGTTTTTATATTTCAGCCAACTTTTACTTTTACTCCATTACATTTCCTAATTAAAATTCGCTACTTACTACAAAATAGTCAGAAGTCAGAAGAACACGGACTGCAGGAAAGCAGGTTTGATGAATCAGTGGTCTAGTGCTTGCAAGTTAGACTCCTAAAAACACCTTTGCTCATGTGAAAACAAGTGCGCGCACAACCGCGGATGATTTCATTTTCCTCTCAAGTCGAGTCTGGGGTGTGCGATAATATGGTAAGTGTTTATTCTATTAAAACTCAAAATTCAAGGCATTCTAAATTGTAGATGGCAAAATGCTACTGTATGCTTTTTATATTTATATAATTTAATATAGTTAACATAATCTTGAAATTTCATAAACTTGAATTCCATAACTTTTTGCCAGCATGGTCTGAAGATGATCTGAGCCAATTTTGGTGAAAATCAGACAAACCATCTAGGACGAATTCGAAAAAGTAGGTTTTTTTAATTATTCAAAATAGCAAAAAAAAAAACTTAACCTTACGATTTTTTAATTTTGAATTTGACAGAAGGAACGAATTTTCCTTCTGTGCCTTACAGTTCAAAAGTTATTAGCATAAACATGAGTGAAAGTTTGGACAAGTGGTGGCGCTAGACAAATGGAAGAAGAAGAAGAATAATAAGAACACCAACGGATACAATAGGTGCCTACGCACCTTCGGTGCTTGGCCCCTAATAATAACAAATGTATTATTATTATTATATTCAATTTTAAAATTATTTATGTTCAAATTTTGGTTCTTTAGTGCATTCCATTACATTTACATATAATAATAATAATAATACATAATATATTTTATTCTTAGCTGACTAATTAATTTACTTTCTGATAAAAGTAGAAGCTTCATTTATTATTAATATTATAATAATTATTATTAAATTTATTACATGTAGTATTATTATTATTCATTGCTGTTGCTGTTGTTTAGGCAGTTAGTTAGACTTTAAACTTTGTAGATATTTGGCCTCTAAAGGAAATGGAAAACCATAAAGGAAATTGAAAAAGATCTGATCTGCACAAATCTGCCATTTGTTAAAAAAAAAAACTCAGTCTGTTTTTGTGGCAGATGAGTTTGTATAGCTTCTACTCTCCTAAGAAAGGCAAATAATTATTCATATTTATTGAAACATACTGTATATAGGCTACTTATTATTATTAAGTGTGTGTGTCTGTATTAGGTGTGGTTTTGTCTTGCCGTTCAACCTGCTAGGATAGATGTGACAACAGACCACACAACGCAACAAGGAAGAAGCACAATTCATAACCGATTCATACAGGTAAGTAAAACATCACACAAGAACTACAAAAGCAAATTGTGAAAATCTAAAATGATACAATATACTGTATTTTCACAGACTTCCATCACTAAAATGCTGAATATTTCCTGCAAAACTATCTACACAGTGCTAAACAGCACAGAGAAGGTGGCCATTGGCACCATCTGTCTGGTGATCGCACCTCTCAGCCTCCTGTTCAATGTGCTTGTTCTGGTTGTCATAGCCTGCTCTAGGAACCTGCTGTGACGTCCGTCGTACCTGTTTATGGGCAGCTTGGCATTGGCTGACACTATTGCTTGCTGCTGTTTCACCATCAACTTCCTGGATTTCCACCTTTTTAAACAGGACGACTCCTTTCAGAAAACAGAGTGTCTGCTTAAGCTGGGTGGCGTGACCATGGTGTTTACAGGATCAGTTGGAAGTCTGCTAGTGATGGCAGCTGACCGCTATTATGCCATTTACAAGGTTTCCACCTACAAGGTGCTGCTGACACATAAAAGAGCCTTGGTGGGTATTGTGACATTATGGGTCGTGGCTGCCCTCATTTCCTTCCGTCCTCTGATGGGCTGGAGTTGTCAGACTTGTCTATCATGCTCCCATCTCTTTCCGTAGGTGGATCGTTACTATCTAGCATTCTTTGCTAGTCTTGTGTTGGTGGTGATCATCCTCATACTGGTAGCCTATGCTCTGATAGTGTGGTTGGCCCACAAACATGAAGCCAACATGTCCGCTGAACATCCAGAGGTAGCACGCATGCGTGTGGACATTCACTTGGCGAAGACTTTTGGCTGTGTTATGTTGATTCTGTTAGTGTGTTGGCTGCCTGTCCTTTCCTTCATGATGACAGATGTAGTTACTACAGAGCTTTCAAAATCACAAAAAAAGGGCATTTGCCTTCTGCAGTACACTATGTCTGCTGAACTCAGGAATCAACCCATTGCTATACACCCTGCGCTGTCGTGAGCTACGTGTAGCGCTTAAATCATTGGTAGATGGTTTGAGGAGATGCAAGGGTTGTAGTTCACCAGCTAGTAACTAATACTTATGTGTTTAATTTAACAACATCTGGCTAATGAACATAAGTGTTAGCTCCCCCTAGCGTTGGTTTCTAAACAACAACAGTGTTGTCAACACGTTCTCTGTTTTCAGTTATAATTTCTTAAATTTTGATTAAATATTGTGTAAAATATAATATGTCCACTGTGTATTCTTTATTTAATTTCTATCTGTAAAAAAAAAGGTAACAAGGAAGAGGTCTGAGGATTGACAAATTCTGCATGCTTTTATAATTTTTTTTTATAAAGTTTTTTTTTTTATGAGTAAATATTTACTTTGATATGGAAGCCTGCTTCTGCCCTCTGAGAAAAAATAAAAGAGTTAATTGAGAGTCTAAAATAAGAAAGCGTTTTTGAGATATACATTTACATTGTGAGACATATACAGGTGATTATTGTGAGATATAAAATCTCAATTATGATGTTTGTATGTATGATGTATGATGATGATGTTAAATAAAGATGTTTTTTATGACAAATAAAGATTGTTAGACAAATAAAGGTTTTATTTTCACGTTTGTTTTTTATATACACTACCATTCACAAGTTTGGAGGTGGTAAGATTTTTAAATGTTTCTGAAAAGTCAAATTTATTTGATCAAAAATACAGTAAAAACAGTAATATTATAAAATATTACAATTTAAAATGTTATTTGTTAATATATTTTAAAATGTAATTTATTTCTGTGATGAAAAATCTAATAATTAAGCAGCCATTGTGTCACATGATCAAGAAAAATTTCTTATTTTTATCAATGTTGAAAAAAGTTCTGCTGCTTAATATTTTTGTGAAAATGGAGATACATTTTTTTCCGGATTCTTGATGAATAGAAAGTTCAAAAGAATGGCATTTATTTGAAATCTTTTGTAACATTCTAAATATCTTAAATATCATTTTTGATCAATTTAATGTTACCTTGCTGAATAAAAGTATAGGTTTCTTTAAAAATAAATTTACTAAACCCAAACATTTGACAGTAGTGTACTAGTGTAAAAAGTTGCATTTACAAGAAATACTCATAATTGTGATATGTAAAGTCTATTAGATGTTTTTTTTTTTCCTATAAGGTGGAAACTTCAATTCATACTGAACATGCAAAATCCAATGCTACATCAAGGGCTGTAATGTTCTTTATCATATAAAAAGACATTTAAACAAAAAGCTAACTTTTTTAGATTGAATAAAATCATGAAGTTTGACATGGTTTATCATCTTTCAACGCTTAGATTAACATTATAAGCAACTATAACTACACGCAGCCACACACATCTTGATGAATCTTGCCATTTGAACCTAAGATTTCAAACATACTCAAAATGTCACAGACTGGGAGCAAAAAGAGTAGTGATGCTATATGATAATGGAGTTTAGATTGAAATTGTGTTTGTTTGGGGGGAAAAAAATCATGTTTCTCTAATGTTACACCGTCAAATGTCAAAGGTAGCATTGTGGATGCCAAGGGCTACACAATACTTTATTGAAATTCAAATGGAAGTTTTTATCAATAAAAGCAAGCGCTTGGGAAACTACAATGGCTGCATTTATTCCTGGCCTCTGTCAACAAGTGACATTTAGATCCCCTCTGAATTTCAGAAAGGGTCAAAGTGGTGCACACAGAGAAGTCTATCAGCAAAACGTATCTGCGCCTCACACAAAGCCTTACTCACACACACTGACGCATATGTTGGTGTGTGTTGAAGATAACTTACCAGTACTTTCTGGAGCCAGTGGGACCTCATTGTTTTCTACCCTGTGGCAGCGTATTCCAACATCTTCGCTATGAGAGCAATCATGTCGACCCCACACACTATGTGTACACTCTAGCAAAGAGCTCTCGCTCCCCTCACACTCCACATCGTCCAGCAGAATCAGCCCTGCTCCTTCTCCAAACGCGCCAGCGGGGGCAACCTCCGCACCGCCCCTACATGGACACACACACTCATGATAAATTCCCAATAACATAACTTTAAATTCTCCCGCAAAATACTTAATGTATACATATAGATCCCATAGAGACACTCATACGCCCACATTGGGCACTACTATTGTGTAGGACACTTCTATGTGAATTTAATTACTAAATCCCTGCAGCCGGTTGCAAAACAAACCCCTTTAAGTTAAGTTCCTAATTTAAAGCATTAATTTACTGAAGGTTTGCATGTATAAAAACGTGTAAACTTAATCGCATGTGCAAAAATGTCAGAGTTGATCTATTAACACAGTCTGCTGAGAACTGTATCTGTCACATGCACAAATCTTGTCAATTTTTGCAGACTTCTTAGAGTTTTTTTTTATATACTTCTGTTTATTTCTCTATAACTGTAACTATGTATTTAAATTAATGCAACAATATTGTGAAGTACAAAAAATATATGAAATTATTTATTGTGAGCTTTTGGCCATTGTTTTATTCAAAGTTACCCTACCATTCAAAAGTTCTAGGTCAGTTAGATTTTTAAAACTTTTATTTAAACTTAAAAGACTCAAAAGACAGTGTTACAAAAAAATTCTATATCAAATAAATGCTGTTCTTCTGAACTTTCTATTCATCAAAGAATCTTGAAAAAAAGGTATCACCATTTCCACAAAAAACTGTTTTCAACATTAATAATATGAAATGTTTCTTGAGCACCAAATCCGCATATCAGAATGATTTCTGAAGGATCATGTGACACAGAAGAAGAATAAATTACATTTGAAAATATATTAAAAAAAGAAAAGTTATTTTAAATTGTAATATTATTTTCACAATATTGCGGTTTTACTGTATTTTTGTTCAAATAAATGCAACAGAGACTCCTTTTAAAAACACCAACAAACCTTAATGACCCCAAACGTTTGAACAGTAGTGTATATTAAATATTTATATACATGACTGCATTACCAAATGTCTTTTATATGAAATCTAAGTTAATCAAGGCCCAACTGTTTAAATTTATCTGACAGTATATCATTCTTCAGTTTTAAGTAATACAGCTACTGTATATACACAACTCAAAAGGCAGGATGAAAAGAATAGCACCTGAATCCCAGCTGTCTGCAGACCACCTGTGCATGCTGCTCCGTCCAGCTGTCATCACACACCGTGCCCCAGTCCCCGGAGTGATATACTTCCAGACGACCTTCCCATGGGTTATCACCATCTACCAGTCTCACCACGCCATCTGAATGCATACGCAAACACAAACTATATACACACATTTCCTCTCACAGTTTCTCTATTGCCAATGGAAGTAATAACTGAAACAAAGTCTTATGTTATCCTGAAGGGGTTTATTTTGCTATAAAACCTGTTTGCTGTAAATCATCCCATTTACATGACTACTTACCAGATAAATAATAAGTGAACATGAAATATTGATTAGAGTCAAAATTATTTTTTAATGTGAGAACACAGAGACCAAGGAGTGATACATAATGTAGAAAACTGTTTGCTAGGGAAAACTAGGTTTATTAGGGTAAACTTCACAGAATATTGTGAAAGACCAATCAGAATCAGGTATTCCAAAGAACCAAGGCTGTAATTGTTTGTATGTGTGTGTCTATGTATAGGATGAGACCTGTATAGGGATTGCATGACACCCCAGCGTCTTCCATATGGTCACAGTTGTGTTGTTCCCATCCGCTGTGACGGCACTCATCCAGAGAGAGCTCATTGCCTGTGCACTGTACTGCGTCCAATTGGATCGGCCCACTGCCCTGCCCGAAATGAGCCCATGACCAGGCTTTATGGATGCCCCTGGACACACACAAAGACATATATACAGTCAAAGGAGACAGTACCGTTTCTAGGCATAGGCGAGCTAGGCGGTCGCCTAGGGCGCCACCAGCTGAAGGGGTGCCAATGAGCGCACATATTGGCACTACATTTTAGCAGGGTTGTGATAAAGAGTGGCACGGTCACCCTGAAATATGACTGCCACCCCCACTGGATCCCCCAACATCATTGGGCTAGAGTACTGTCGATCTGATGATGCCTGTATGCCATTGGATCAGAGCGCTGTCAATTGCTGCCTGATTGTTGCATGCAAAGTTTGCATTTGGAGCGCTCATCAACGCCATTAGATCAATAGGCTCTGTCAGTGCTTTGGCAAGGTAACGGTTTTTTTTTTTTGCGAGATTTGTCCAAAAGGTGTGCGTTTTTGCGCCAATGCATTGTTAACAGATCAGCGTGTCATATTCCCATATAAACTTTAACAGCCAATTAAAAAATATTGGTATCGTAAAATTCGCTAATTTACGAGATCAATACATCCTTTATTAAACCGCTTTGTCGAGTTTGATTCATCCTGCAATTACGGAGGTGTTGAAATGCTGAATCAATTCATTCACTTCTAAGAGCATTTAATGGGAGCAGCGTTATACACATAGAGGGCAGAGCGTCACGTTATTAAAAGGGGAAATTCACGCGTTAATGAGTAGCAAAGGATTAAGTAGCTGCATTGATTACTTTTTTGCCACTGATCAGGCTTTTTTATATGTAGTCTGTGGTAACAAAGGGTTTTATAGGTTTGACTGAAATAATAATGCAATAACTGACACTTTAAATCAATGTTTCAAGAAACAACAACAACATTTTTTAACAAAAAACAGATAAAGACAAAAAAGTAGCCATTGATAATATCTAAACATGCATCCAAATCCAAATGTAATAAAATTAATTTACGTGTGATTTATGTGTAAATTATGTGCAATGTCTTAGCTACTAGGGATTGTTACATAGCGCTATACAGGCATCTAGTGGCAACACAATGATATTACAGATAATACATTGTGCAAAATATTTATCTTAACAGTCAATTTACAAATAATGCATTCAGATTTGTGGAACTCACAATGTGCTCAATCGCCACAAATTAGTGAACAGTATATATATATATAATCAATAGGGATTTCGCCTAGGGCGTCAAATTGGCTAGAAACGGTCCTGAAAGGAGATATAAGTGCCCTGTAAAGTGGAATTCTGTCATCTTAAGTACGATTCAAATCCAAAGAGAGCAAACATGTTCAGTTCGAAGGGTACTGCAAACAACATAGGGAATAAGAGAACATCAATAATTCACAGGAAACGGAGAGGGAAATTTACCCACCAGTCATTGCACATCACCCTGGAACCACAAGAAGCTTTACTAAAATAAATGCAGTGAAATGAGTTGAAAATCAAACTAATTTCTTAATTAGTTTAATTAGTTAAGTTTATTGAGTTTAGTCATTTTGTCAAGTGGAGTGAATTTCAACAGCTATGTATGCTCAGAGAGTAGGGAACAGTTTGTAGTGACCCAGTCGATTAGAACACAGCTATATTGTTTGAGTCTGGCTTGCATCATATTCTGCATCATTTCCTGATCTATCTCTGTTGTCTGTATTGTGAGATTACTTTTTTGTAACACTTTACCTTAAGGTCCCATTAATTAATGTTATTTATCGTAAAGTAATTAATGTGTAAACGAATATTAGCTAGCAATTTGTTGTTACAGTATTTATGTTAAGAAATACAACTGTTCATTGTTAGTTCACGTTAGCTCAGGTCTATTAAATAATGTTAAGAGATACAACTTTTGATTTTAATAATGTATTAGTAAATGTAAAAATGAACTAAGATTAATAAATGCTTTAGAAGTGCTCATGTTAACTTATGTAGCTAACTAATGTTAACAAATGGAACCTTTTTGTGAAGCGTTACCATTTTTTATCATAATTCAATATTAAATGTCAGTCAATTTGATGTTTTTATAATTATTTCAATTTCAATTCAATTTTAATATATTTGAATGTTAAATGTCATGTTACAATTACTTTAATGCTGTATACACAAAAATTAAAATGACTTTTTTTTTTACTTTATTTACTTCTGTTCATTTTGTATTACTACCCTAGTGAAAAATAAATATACTAAAATGTATCTGAAATACATTTATTTCATGCTAAGTATACTACAAACACATTTACATATTTATGTGCTTAATAAAAATATCCTGCAATTGTACTTTTGGTATACCAAACTGGTATACTTAAAGTCTGCTAAATTGGAACAACTATTTTTGTAATTAATGCACTTTAATTGTGCAGATGTAGTGCTGAAGTCCAACTAAAGATATACTTAAACATATTTGATTGTGCTAAAGTGGAATTATACTTCAGGTACACTTTAAATATCATGCATTTAAAGACCGATATGATTCAAAGATCATACAATTCTCATCAACAGTGACATTAAAACACATTTTAGGCTTAATATTAAGAAATGTGCATTGTGCACAAGTAGTACTCTAAAAAAAGTTGAATTATAATTTTTATAACTGTAAGTCTCAAGCAATATGTCAGTAAATACGTTAATAGATTTGAACTACTTAGTATGAAATCAATGTATTTTAAACATATTACTTTTTTTACTAACAACATGTACGTTGGACCCTATTCCATCTAAGCTCCTAAAAGAGGTGATTCCAGAAGTCATAGATCCTCTTCTGACTATTATTAATTCGTCATTGTCATTAGGATATGTCCCCAAAACCTTCAAACTGGCTGTTATTAAGCCTCTCATTAAAAAAACACAACTTGACCCCAAAGATCTAGTTCATTACAGACCGATCTTGAAACTCCCTTTTCTGTCAAAGATACTAGAAAAGGTAGTATCCTCACAATTATATTTCTTCTTAGAGAAAAATGGTATCTGTCACAGTGCTTCTAGGAGGAGGCGAGGAACATGGAGACGATGGAGAGTAACGAGGAAAAGTCTTTATATCCATAGAGAAGGTAAGGGTAGGCAGGAGACACACACATAGCACGTATTACTGACGACTTTAAATACAAAAGTAAACAAGGGTAATTAACGGGACACACCTGAACCAAATGACTAATCAAACGAGAAGGAGAAACTGGGTCACGGGGAGCACATGGGAGAAAGCACCACAAAACAGGTCCATATTCCTGACAGTATCTATGAGGATTTCCAGTCAGGATTTAGACCGTATCATAGTACTGAGACTGCTCTCATTAGAGTTACAAATGACCTGTTCTTATCATCTGATCATGGCTGTATCTCTCTATTATTGCTACTGGATCTTAGTGCTGCGTTCGACACTATCGACCACGACCACAACATTCTTTTAAATAGACTAGAAAACTTCGTTGGCATTAGTGGAAGTGCATTAGCATGGTTCAAATCGTACTTAAATTCATAGTTGATATAAAAAAACTGGATGACGAGTAAATACTTACTGCTAAATTCTGAAAAAACAGAGGTGTTAATTATCAGACCTAAAACCTCCGCATGTAATAACCTAGAACACTGTCTAACATTTGATGGCTGCTCTGTCAATTCTTCATCACCAGTTAGGAACCTAGGTGTGCTATTTGATAGCAATCTTTTCTACGAAAGCCACATTTCTAGCATTTGTAAAACTGCATTATCCATCTAAAAAATATATCTAAATTGCGACCTATGCTCTCAATGTCAACTGCAGAAACGTTAATTCATATGTTCATGACCTCAAGGTTAGATTATTGTAATGCTTTATTGGGTGGTTGTTCTGCTCACTTAATAAACAAACTTCAGCTGGGGCAAAATGCAACAGCTAGAGTTCTTACTAGAAACAGCAAGTATGACCATATTAGCCTGGTACTGTCAACACCGCATGGGTTGAATGGTTTAGCTCCTCGTTACTTTAGCGAGCTCTTATCGCATTATATTCTTTCATTTTTGCTGCAATCTCAAAACTCTGGCACATTACATTTTTCACCCATTGAATGTGTATAAGTATCGCTTTTTATTTCTCCTCTTTCCTACTACTTGTTTCACTTCTGTTTCAGTTTTTTATAACCATTTCTTACTATGTGTCAGTAAGTTGTTGTTATTTTAGCATGTGTGTTTGGCTCAGTGTTATTTTTTTAGGATTACTGAT